TGGGTTGAGTCAATTGAGAGAAGATAATCTATTTTCTCTTAAAAATCTTGTCAAAATTTCAACAAGACAAGAAACAAAAGTTGCTCATACGCAACATGCCTTCAACTCGTAAACAGGAACACGAAAGTGCAACCAGTGTGTTACGTATTGTAACCCTAACAAATAATAATCCAATAACATTGCGTTTTTTGAAATGGCGTCAAGAAAATACCCAATTTAGCGATTTTCTAACCGTATTCCTTTGAAGTAATTGGAGTAAGCTCTTGAAAAGAGGTCAACCATATTTGCTTCTTCTCTTCTAGAATGTTCTAATCAAAGTCTTTCTTTAGAATTGCATTGAAACAGTTCTGGGAGCAAACAAGGAAAAATTTCCAAATTGAGAATCTTTCACCGGAGGATAAACTTTCAAACGAACAACTCGGCATAAAGTTTACAATCTTCAACAGTAAAACATAATTAACAATTTCTTCGTCAAAATGTACAGCCAACTAAGAGCGTATAAGGCTACAAAATTGGGGGAAAATGTTTATGGACAAAGATAAATTCGAAAAAGATCTGTAATCGACTGCGGAGTTGTTTTTGACAGATTATTTCTACGCTGTTCTTTTGGACAACATACATTCGCAAAACTTCCCCAACATCAAAACATACGCAATAACTAAATCGACAAGAAAGTTCGTGATCCTTTATCAGTCTCGAGATCGAAGACTAGTACTGCATTTCTTGCTGTTGTTTGAAAACAGGTTGATGTTTCGTTTCAGTTTCATGATGAGCAAGTCCCGCGACAGAAACAGCTAAATTACACTTTAATACAATGTCCTTACCAGTGAGGCTAATTTCAGTGCCTTGAGGAACAACTAAGGCTGATAAATGCTATCGTTGGTCTTTCGGTCTTTTTACTGCTGCTGTGAATCGTGCTGGCCTGGCTCGCACTAAAAAGACTCTTAGCCTTATGCTTGCGATCCAAACGTCCCGATCTGTACATCAGAGGAGAAAAAAAAGCGCATTAAACGATATTACTTTATCTGATATTGTGCCGTTGTCCTTAAAGCAAGGGATAATTTTCACCAAAGATTGTGCAGCTTTCACGAAATCGTAGCGGGGATGGTATGCGTTTTACTTTTTGCTTTTTTCAGCATTATTGTCCAACTAAACGAAGCAGGTCTACCGTTTATTTGACACACGCAGCATATCAGATAATAAAGTCATAAAGTGTATCAAATAACGTCACTTTTAAAATTTTCACTAATCTAAAGTGACGATAGTAGAAATTCCCGTGCAATTTCACCTTTTCGCTAAACCAGTTTTCTCAGGCTCCTTCTCCTCCAGGGTATGCCCTATCAATATAAATATTCTAGAATGTATGTTTGTTGATTTTCCGTTTGAAACGACTTGTATCTGCTCCACATAACTTTCATGTAAGTCAATTGAGGTACACTTACCGTTGTTAAAGTTTTAGAAACCTTTCAGTGAGGCATGCATACTTCATTTGCGATAAAGAACATTGGTCGCTTTCTGTAGTCAACAAAACACTCGAAGAACTTGAAAGCGAAAGCTAATCTGGCGTTGTCGCAATGCATATTATTCACATCCCTAAATAGCTGCGCCCTGCTGGTATTATATCAATTGTTTTACTGACAACTATTGAATTCGCTTGGGCCTCATCATTGGTCAAGTTTTTGCCCCCAGCAAAATAACACAGCAATGTGCCTTAACTCGTTGATCTTCATTTATTTTTTAAAGCTAATTCGCTCTTCAAAAGTTAGTAAAAAATTCCTCGCAATAGACATCATTTCACATTGCCCACATAAATGAAAAGTAGATACTTGGTTGTCCAAAAGCCGTTAGATGTTTCGTTTCAGTTTCAAAATTAGCCCTGGCCCGCAACAGAAACATCTAAATTACACTATAACACAATGTACTTACCAGTAAGGCTAATTTCAGCGCCTTGAGACTGAATACAGCTCGATAAGACGACGATGAATAACCACAGTTTTTTTTGTACGAGATGAGATTTTTCAGTCAGCAAACCAAGAATCGTAAAAATTCTGTCCAGTTATGAGACCATAGTTCTGCAAATGAACGAAGGACAAATTCCTAAATTGTTGTATGCAAAACGAAATTGATGTATAATTTGATAAATTATTATAACGAAGTTGAATTAAACTCGTTTAGAGAGCCGTTAAGGTTTGCAGTTTGAGTCTACGAGCAAGAATTTGTGGCAACATCCTTCATGGATCTTACACTAAGCGTTGATCTTGTTGGAATCAAACATTTGTTGGAATTTGCTTCTCAAATCTAGATTACAAGTGATTTATACTTACTTCTTTAACGATTTCTGTTTCTGTTTGTTGAGGGAACACGTCGTCGTTTTGAGTCAGCAAAATGACAAAGCACTGCTCAGAAGCAACCATGCACGAAAGTTCAACCAATTTGCATATCGCAGCATCTCAGATGACATTGTGATGACTTTTACGTCGGCAGCAGACAGATTTGCGCCTGATCTCATTAAAAAAGAATCCAGGCCATTCAAACAGCAGATGACAAAATTGTAGATAGGGGTAGGGTTAGGAAGAGGAGGATCATGGAAGGAAGTTTAGTCGTTTCGTGCCTAAAATTCTCGACAACCAGGGATATTAAAGGAAGAGTCATTCTTATAGCCTGGGTGGGCTGTAGGAAATTTGTTTTCTTAGGGGAGAGGGAGGGATCGCATGGGGGAACGGAAGGTCGTCGAAAGTCGTCTCTGACAGAGTTAAAAAGAAGACTATAGAAGATTGACTGCACATTAGGGGAATTGATAGAATACCACGGAGCTTCATGGAGGGAACCAGTAAATTTTATTGTTACAAAATCAAAATACTCCGCCCCACACGACTTGTGGGGGAGTCACCAATTTCAAACTGCAAGAGCTTTGGTAGAGTTAAAACGACAATTAGCATCGTACATGGCCCATTCAAAGTTAAACAAATTATTACACTAAGAAAACAGTTTTCATCAGAATAATAAGTATATTCGCATTTAAGTCAACTGAAAACGTCAAGTTCTGCCTTTACAGGTAAAGCTATTCAAACAAAAACCTACCATCGCTATACCTAATACAAATTACAAAAGCTTTTCAATACAAAGGAAATCAGTTTTTTGGTTGGTACTTTTCAGAGGACTGAAAAGGAAATTTTTTTTTCAAGTCATTGCTGGATTTTTGCCACCATTTCCAGCCAATTTACAATGGTAATAGGACTGAGTGGAGTCTAATTCCATCTGTTGTTATCATACACATGATTAACAAACTTAGACAAAAAAGAAGTAAGAGACCAATTTGTCAATCTGATGATGATCAATATGATAAGAGAAAGAATTGGACGACAAGAAGTCCTGTTACCAATTAATATTAATTGCTACAATTTCTGAAAACAGCAACTACATTTAGGTCAAATATCTCTTGTAGAGACAATGTCTAAAGTAAAAAATATGTCTCCATTTTGGAAATTCTTAAGTTTTTTTGGATAAGTGGTTGTTGCTATGGTTATTGTGATTGACTCCGTGATTGGCGGATTTGGCTGAGTGGACTTGTATGATTCGTTGCTTCAACTGTTCAATTACAGGTGTCCGATTACAGCCAACTGTCCAATTACAGCTGTACAGAATGAGAAGTAAAAAATCAAAGCAGCTCATACACCAATTACATTTGAAGAAAGTATAATGGTTGTGATTATTGCCTAAATAGCCTGTTCCAGACATTCAGTTGGTAAAACAAAGTGTGATAGTAAACAGAGCTATAATAGCAGAGAAGTGAAAAAGCGAGGGAGGCTTGGGTTGAGTCACTTAATGAATCCCACCTGACCCAACCTCTCTTCCTGTTTCACTTTTCCACTCCAGTCTTCACTCCCTTCTACTAACTGAACGCCTGGAGTGAGCCAATGCCTGAAACGACCTTACATCATTTTAAAAACTTTTTTTGTATTGTCTGTGTCAAATTAACATAATCTTATTTCATAAGGAAGGTTAGCAATAAATTTTGGCCACCCAAATTTACAGTACCGTCTATTTTCTCTGCACTCATTAATTAAGATTTTTTCATGTCATTCAATAGTTTGGCCAAAATGGCGTAGGTATCTCTTCCATTCTTTAACCGCGATTCAGCATACGGATAAGACTGGCTTGCAGGCTCAACACCCTTTGCCTATTGTAACGGATCATCTATATTTAAATTAAAAAAAAACAAAAATTAAAATCAATCAAGTAAGCACATTGTCTACTGTAGTTAGAGCCAAATGAGAATTTCTTTTCATGTGCCCCTAACAATTATCTATATTATCTGACATTTCTCCTCTATTTATTACGCTGGCGCAAAGGATTCATTGTAAACCATGGAAAATGGTCGAAAATCAAATTGTTGATGAGCGATTTTGTCACTTTGGCTTCTCAGAGGTTAATGGTACTTGCTCATCACTTTCGAGTTAGCCAGTCAGTGTGCACGAAAAACACTATTCGCTTGTGTGGTATAAACTAATTTTTTGATATTCAGGTTTTAACATGAAAATGGCACAAATATTCATGTTATTGTTTGACATGTGTCTTACATGTAAACCAACAACAGGGTGGTCTGCCTGTAAAACAAGCCGAGAAATGCAACCAGGTAAGGGTGGCATGCAGAATTTTCCAGCAAAACAGTAAGCTGAAAGTCTAAGTAAAACAAAAAGCCTTTTTTATATCATTTTATTCACCTCTTTCTTTGCAGCTTCTGAAATTGAATTGTATGCTTCCTCTGCATCGTCTTTGGCTTTTTGAAGATGAAAATAAAAAAATGTGTAAAACAATTTAGGATTCTTCAATTCTGGTGTTCACCATAATTATTCAGAAGCTCAACTTGAACTTCGAGTCTATTGCTAAGTGCAACCTCATGTGAATCACGAGAAAAAAAAAACCAAAAAAAAAACAACACTCAATCACATGTAAAAAATAAGAGAGAGGTGCAAAGCACATGTTTGTCAGAACCTTACCATTTCTTGGTTCTTGGGTTTGGCTTTTTCCAGTGCTTTTGTTGCGTTCTCAAACTCAACTAGTTTACATGTACGACTGAAAAGCATCTCCTGCAGGGTAAGAGATGGACAAAACAAGTGCAGTAAACAGTTAAAATAATCATCTTGAGACAGCAAGAAGAAATAACCAATTAAAAAAAGGGGTTTTCAAAGTTAGGACAATAGAATTGTAATCCAGAAGTCCCACATTCCAGCTCATCTGTACTTGATGGTTCCAAATTCAATTATACCACGAAGCATTGTAAATAAAAAAAAACTCCCCAAGTCAGTTCATGTTTCCATTCCACCATTCCAGTCTTTGTTTGCAAGTTTTCCATCCCTTTTGCTTAGCAGTATGAAAATGAAATGTAAATTACTCCAAAGGGTGCTTTCTCTACAGATAACCTCTCTCTTGTGCTACATTCATGTAAATGCACTATCCTTACCAATGAATTGAAAAAATTGAATGCAATAGAGATAGAGTGGGTAGAACCCAGTCTTCTCATTCAAGACACAACCCACAAATCATTTGGGATATGAGAAATAGATTGATCAACAGTCTGGCTAATTAATTTTTGTTGTTGTTTGGTTATTTTTGGTTTTTCTCTTCTTTCTTTTTTAGATGTGCAGTGATCCTGAGCTTTTCTCAGGCTGTGATAATGCTTTCATCTCACCCCACCCCAAAAGAAAATAGTCACCTCCTTTCCCCTTCCCTAACCCTGCCCACAAGAGGAAAGCCAATATCCTTTAGAGAGTTCAATAAGATACAAGTTTTCCAATACATATTTCACATACCTTAATTGGCAGCATCCATGTATCTGGAATAAAGTTCTAAAGTAAAACCTAATGTGTTGTCATCATTAGTGGACATAACATCCAGTGATTCCTGAAGAAAGAAGAGGACACACACACACAAGTAAGACAAAACAAATTAAACTCTTGGAATTGAAAATACTGCTAGCAACACTAGTTCCTGTCTAAAAATGCTATCATACCTTGACACCATTTAGTGCACTTGAAAAAGTCACAAAACTCCTGTAAAAGTAAAAAAAGCTTTGAAAATTAGCTTTTTGTTACACCCTGACATCAGAATGTATATTCTCAATACTGTTCTTGGTACATATTCTATTATACTGACAAGGAGAAGTTGTTCAACAATCAAGAGCTTCTTTGTTTTTTTCTATCATTTCCTTTATTCTCATGACCTTAATGTACTATGCAGCAGTGATATGGTGAGGAGAATTTAGATGCTGATCACTTCAACATGGGAGGAAGACATAACTATCATGCTAAGGTCTTGATAGGTTTTGATTGCCTCTTATTGCCAGTTCTCATGATGGTTACAGTGAGTAGAGCTAACATGTAAGATGTGGTAAAACAGTGGTTATTCACATGGGAAAAAAAATCAGCCAAACTATATGTCTGGTCCATCATTGCTTGCATTGGAAGTTTGCCACCACAGGTTAATAATGGAAAGATATGAAATAAATATTAAGTAATTATTACAAAATCATATCATTTAGCAATTTCAGACAAAGAACAACAAACCCTTTCAATTCCTTGGTACTATTATCATCACCAGCAGATGCTGTCATGATGCCAGAACTAAAATCATTCACTGCTAATGCAACACCTGAAATTCACAAAGAAATTCAAAATTACCAAACTTACATATGTATTAATATGCCATCATGGTGAGTTTGTCATAATCATATAGTATCATTTATTATCAAAATCAATCATATATTACAATATGTATGGTTGAATAATAATTCAGGTATGTCTTTGCCACTCTTATGTTGTTTTTACATGGATGTTCTTTATATATCAATGTTTTTGGCCAAACTTTCTGTTAAAATTCACTAGCCTGGGCCATTCACCAAAATCATGAGATTTGAAGTTGTAATTCGCTATTTCAGCCATAAACAACCTTAATGCAGATTACACATTCCAGTAAATAAAACATTGCTACATATGTTGCTGACTGTGTACCATTTTGGTGAAGTTCTACAAAAAAACACAAGTAGAAAAACATTTATTTATTTAATCTCAAAATTGTCAACTCTTACTTAGAAGCTAAAACCAAATCTTACTTTCCTCTACAACCTCATTCTCATCATAGGTGCTGTTTGGTGTAAAAGCAATTCACAGAATCATAACTTAATTGTTTATGTTATTATTGACTATAAGACATTCTGGCTTTTCAACCACAGTTTCCAGCAGAGTTGGCATTTTGTAATTCCAGGTCTTTTTTCCCTCATAAAAGACCCCTAAAGCAAACCAACAAGATGCATGTAAATGTAATCTATCCTTCACCCACAAGTAGCTCAGGGTACAGAATCCTAGCCCAGACTGATGTGGTGAGAGAGAAGCATTTACACTTCAACCCTTAAACTCCCATGCATGACCAAAACATTATTTCTCCCCACCACATCAATACAACACCAAGCAGGAAAGTGATGCTCTGATTATTAGTTGATCCAAAACCAAATTCTCCAAACCTACATCATATGAATTTTGTGGCAGAATGTGAAGGGAATTACTGAATCATATAATGCACCCCTAGAAAAATATTACTACTACTGACCCCATATGTCTCCTTGGTGAGTGATGTGTACTCTTCCACAAAATCTCTTTTCTTCTTAAATTCTTCAACAAGATCCTAACCAAAAGGATTAACTTCTGGTTATTTGTATTTCTAGGAAGGTCAAGTCATTCTTGTAATGGTTAAATTCAAAAGAAAGTTAGGTCATCTGTGAGCAGGGCCACTGTAACCCTTTAACTCCCAGAAGTGATGAACATGTAACCTCTCCCGTTAATATCCATACATTATTCAGCAAACAGGTAATCAGAATACTCAAACTCATCAGGTACAAGATGTTATGCTGATTGAACACAAAATTCTCATTGCTAATCTATAAGGACAAGTGTAGCAGCTAGAGGGAAGAATTGAAAATCAGATCTTGGGAGTTTAAGGGTTAATTGCACTTTGGCTAAAGTGCTTCTTCACCTGCAGGAGAGAATGAGACCTGGAGCAACATGAGCTGGTGAGAGGCCTGTAAAGGGTTTAACCCTTTAACTCTCACAAGTGATTAACATGAAACTTCTCCCTATAATATCCATACATCATTCAGCAAACAGGTAATGAGAATATTCAAACTTGTCAGGTAGAAGCTTCTATCTTGATCTAGTATCAAGTTCTCATAACTAACTTATAAGGAAATACGTACTAGCAGCTAAAGGGGAGAATTTAAAATTAGATCTTGGGAGTTAAAGGGTTAACACTGATAAAGAAGGACCAAGTATTCAGCAGTTTAACCCCTAAGAGTGACTGACATCTATTTTCTCCTTACCAAATTCCCCCTGAATCAAACATTAAGGTCAGGAGAATAAAAGAGCTGATCACTGACTACAGAAGCTCTTGATTGTTAGAAATGTCAGCATCCTAGAAAATGTTTAGAGAACAGTGGGGAGAATATACATACTGATGTTAGGGTGTGCAGAGTTAAAACAGTCTCCCTGTATACCACAATTCAAACTACAATTATTCATATTTAACAGCCCTGAATGAGACATACACTGTATGTAATTAAACAATAATCCAGTGATATCACAATTTTACTAAACAAAGACTTCTTAGATAAAAAAATCAAAACAAAACAAAAAAACATAAAAAAATCCTGGAACATTTTGTACCTTGTGACTATGATGCCTGAGATCATCCACAGCTCATGATATAGACTTGTCCTAAGACCCTTTTTCACTTTTAAATCTGCTTTTTAATCTGCTGTAAATCCATAGAATTACTCAACTGTCCCCTTTTCCTATTCCTTCATTACTCCTTTCCATTGGTTATTCTCAATTTCTTTACTCCACCATAAACTTTGTTTCAGCATTAAAATATACCTGTTTTTCTCCTTTCTTCCATTTCTCTGAACATTCCTCTGTAACCCAAATCCACATCGTCCCTGAATTTCTGTCTTACGAGTCCTTCATGATGTGTAGCTCAGCTCGATGTGCGGCGCTTGGTAACCACCCTGTCTCACTTCGCTAACAAATCATCAGCAGAGTTCCATTTGTGTCGTGTGTCAAGAGGATGGTTTCCAAATGACAGAGTACCGGCTGTATCCATGGAAAATGCCTTAGGGCAACGATGCTACTGACTCTAGATTGTTACTATCAAAAAGGCAAAGTTAGTCATCAAGTTAGCAGCCCTGTACAGCTTTTTTGGCCTTGTTAGGCCTGATAAATAAGGCGTTGCTAACATAAGGGGCTTGGGTAGCTTATGAAAAGATGTTTTGAACATCGGCAGAAATATTGGACAAGATGGCGGCAACGCTTGCGCATTTCGTCCATAATGGCGTCCAAATGATATAAGAAACTGTATGGAAATTTGTAAAATTTCTAAAATATAACAATCAAGAGCTCATGGTCCCGTCTGCTCTCGATCGAGACATATTCAGTACTGATTCTGCTATTCATCAAACCTCACAGGGACTCGATAAATAAAAACCACTTACTTCCCGAGCCAGTTCTTTTGTCATTGATCATTGACCTAGGTCGCCATACAGTTCTTCAAAATCCGTCGTTCTCCATCCCAAACACTCGCCTATTACAGGAAAGTGCATCGATAAAGTCAACTGCTCTCGATCGAATTGACTGCTACAGAGTTCGAAGCGTCCAAACATCCTGTAAAATTGCCATTTCCTCTCATCAAAAAAGTTCCCAACGCGCCAGAATATCCCTTATTTTCCATGTTGAGTAAGTGACGAGACGCCATGTTGAAAACTATGACTGAAATAGTTAAACACGAGCAACGCTGATCTTCGAATCGTCGGCCATATTTGTTTATGTTCTTGCAGGGAAATAAATTAGTTCTCGGTCCTTTTCGGAATAAAGATATGCCAGGCATTGAATGCAAATTCAGTAGTCTTAGCGCGAAAATTAAATTCAAGCAAATCAAAATTCTGACATCATGTCATCGCTCTGCCTCGAAAAATCCCAAAGATTTACTTGCAGGTCTTCTTTTCTTTTTCTTTTCATCAAGTAGAAGATCTGCGGTGCTCAAATTGTATAAGTCATGGTACGAAACACTCTTCTTTGCAGATCGATCGATCGATATTGAATTCTCTTGATATTCTATTGTTCCGGAGTGTAATACGATATACCGCTGATAATTGCTAGCGGGCTCGAAATGTCCTTGATTTCTGGCGATAATTACATATGGAATATTTGCAGAAAGAATTGGAGGTGTGGAGGCCCCATAGTCTGCATCTGGAGTCTGAGTCGAGAGATTCCTATGTGGAGACCAGACAGGAACACTTCGAAAAAGAGACTTAAGAAGTAATCAGCTCTCATCAAGAATTTCACTTTCCATTAGTTTTGATTTGAAAGTTCCACTGCCCGAGAACACGACTGCAGCTGATCTTAATCAGACAACTGAAGAAATTTCCAGTAACCTATTATTAAAGTTTAACAAAACAGATGTGAATCTTAATATCAGTGGGATTTCCTTAGTTTTCGATGCTTCAAAACCACCTCAAGTCCGCTTCGTGCGCCTTTTATGTGATAGTGGACAGGTTCTAAGAGGCTCCAAATGTGGTAAGCAGAGTTTGTTATCAAAAAAATCCTTACGAATCTCAAAACACAAAGTGACTGGTTAACTTACTTTGCTTAAAAGATTCTTATTTTGTCCAAGATAGTTGGTTACGCTGGCACTTTTCCATAAGCAAGTATTCTAAAAAATAATTTGATCGCTTTAGACAAACAGGAGCAGTGAGATGCATGATGCAAATGAAAGAATAGCCAGATAATTTTTTATTTCACGTTTGCTAAGTACTTCCCTATAACTATAAAATTTTCTAAAATGCCCGAGTTTTCCAAAGCGGCCATAAAAGCAATTTCACTTCCGCTTTATTATTGGTTTATTTAAGAAAATAGGTGTTATACGATTGGCTGCCTACTCTAGATCAACAATCTTTCAAAGGCGCAGAATTTCTTCGCAGATGGCATTTGAAAAATTATGTGAGTTGAAAAAACGTATTGAAAGCGCTAACTCTAACTTAAGGAGAACTAAAATCTTCCCATAGCTTTTAAGCCCCTAGATGTTTACGGAGTACTTGGTTAAGTTTAGACCCTATCGTAAGTAATAAGAAAGATGTAATTAACTCAACGAAGGAAGTATATCATAACCAAGCACCAAAAAGTCATTCTTTTAAATGAATCAACGTACGAAACATTTCTCCTGAAAATGAGTTTCCTCGCATGAGGATGAAGAATGATTGTAATATAAGTATCGAAAAGGCAATGCACTTGCCTTCCTATGCAGTCAGATGCTATAAACAGCTCTGAAATGGCTGACTCAAACAGTTTGATGATACGTCAAACCTTTTTAAATATCTTCGTCCCTTTTTGCTATTTATAGTGAGCTGTCCTGTTGGATACTTCCACAATACCTCACATTGCCAGGTATGCGCAGTGGATCATTACCAGAATAAAGAGGCGCAGACTTCTTGTGTTCCTTGTCCATCCGGGACATCAACGTTTGGCGCGTTAGCATCTAGATGGCAGGGAAACTGTGAAGGTCTCTAAACAAATTGTACTAGATGTCTTCTTTTGACTTATGATGAATTTAGTTGTACTGCTTTAAACAATATTCGTATTTGACCGCTTGCCAATTCTTATTTTCATCAGCAAATTACAAAACGTCAAATACCGATGGGAAAGGGACATCTGGTCACCTTCTCAATGTCATCATTGCCATGGCAATAGTTGTACCAGTCATTGTAATAGTTGCTGTCGCCATCTTTTGTGTGTGGAAGCAAAGAATGTAAGTCAAAAGCATCATTTTCATTTTTTTTTTTTTTATGGTTGTCATTATGGTCACCATAAGAATTTCTTACTGTTATTTTTATTGCCGTCGTGGTTTTTCAAAAGTGGAATAGATACCAATACAGTTAAATTGCAATGGAAGAAAAAGAGGTGAAAAGGCTTACCTACACAACAACCCACGCACAAAGCATAAAACAAATATTCTAATTTTGGCCGGGTAAGGCATTAACAAAGTTAAGAATTTGTCTTATTTCGGAGTTCCGAAATGACATAGCATAGCAATGACACAGTTGAATGACATAGCATCACATAGCAAGGTTTGATACATGCGAGCTAGTTAAAGATTCATGTCTCTCTTTCTCAGCTATTTTATCGTTCCTCCCTCAGAAGACCTGGGCGAACAACTTCTGAAACCAGGGGACACAACAATCCAACATATGAAGATCCAATGAGTACCCGTGTCTATGAGGAAATTGAAGAATTGCAGTTTCCGAGTCCTCATTCCCATTATCAGTTACTGAACACGGAACCACATACTTACGCGGACCTTCGAAACAGTCACTCTGAAGCCTAAGGACATAGTTTGACGACTTCAGATAATCTGAATTGAGATGCTTTTTTGTTATAGTCCTACCTTCACCGGTTTAAGCCGTGGATATGCAAAGCATAGGAAAAAGCAACGCGTTAACGCGGCCTAGGAAGTCTGGGGAGAGCATGCATATATCTTATATAGGATGCGAACCCAATGTTAGTTTTGGCAAATCAATTAAGGATAGCTCTCGTGGGGATGACGGCTAATTTTGTACCGATAATATACTGCGCAATAGCCCTTTTATCACAATTTGAACAACTGAACATTCCCTCTTGACACTTTGTTGGGAGAGTGGAAATCAAATGTCAAGGTTGTTTTGGTAAACTTAGACTTGACCCGCCGAAATAACCAATTATATTCTGCACGTTATATCCACGAGTTCATTACAATGTCACTTGGATCTTGTTATACAGTATCTATTGATGGGTTCTAGTGCGGAAGGTCTATAAGGATTAGAGGAAAGGTTCAATACTTCTTACAGGCATCGAGGGAAGCGTTATCACGGAGAAAATGGCCGCAATTCAACGATAAAACCGCCCACGTAGACAATTCAAATCCAATCCCTTGAACAGTGTAATACGTTACAATCAAAGATACACTTTGGGTGCAATGTAGAATTACGAGTTCAGAATAAAATGTTTCATTCTTAGTTGGATTTGGATCTTTATCAGTTTCGTCATCTAACAAGAGTATCTCATCAAAAAATGTATCTTAAATTTCGTTTTCCAAAAGTGTTTCTAATACCGCATTTGTTCCCTTTTCACTCGTGTCCCGCAATATTATGGAGAAGTAAAACATGTTACAAATCTACCTTCAGACGAACAAAAATCTTACTAACTTTTTTCATCAATAAATAACCCCATCCCCATGCAAGTAACTTCTTTACGACATGATAATGATCACCCACGCGCTATCCACGCTTTAATTAGGCTTTCATGAGAAATTTTTGACTAGGGAGAAGGGGAGGAAGCCCTGTATGAGAAAAATTAATGATATTTTCAACCCTCAAGTCTAATTAAAAAAAACTTAAACTTTCGTTTAAAATTTTTTCTTCAAGACGAAAGAGGAGTTTGTAGGAATGTGGGTATTAGGAATTGTGAGCCAGTACATTGTGAGACTTCACTGCGTCACTAAGAACACTACTGAAACGAGTAGTTGAAAAAAGGACTTTTACGGGCCTGAATTTTTTTCAGGTCCTATTTTCAACTACTCGTTTCAGTAGTGTTCTTAGCTGCGAGGAGCTCTTAATTTCATTTCTTCACCGCAGTGCAAATATATGAATTTCATATACCTAAAATCATCAATCACCGCGTCGGTTGATATCTTTATCGAAGTTCGCTCTTCGATTCCACAAGAATGAGAGGTTACTTCCACTCAACTTTGGATGTTAAACGGCTACTGATGAAGCAGTAACGGAATTTTCTCTTTAGGAGCGGGGACGGGAGGTGAACAGCAGTTTTCGATTTTTCAATTATAAAGTACTGAAGCGTTAAGTGAAAAACTTTAATACGTTTTTTGTGAACAGCGAGATATCATGGATTTTGTTCTAATATCTAATAATATCTATTTCTACTCTTTTTTCAGCTAGTAAAACATTGTTTTTGTTAAATCGCTCGTTTTAGTGTTTGTTTTATAAAGGGCTTGACAGTTTTCGTAAAATCGACCTCCAATGTTACCTTTAATTTGAGCCTCGATATGCGTCGTCACGAGTGTTCGCTAGGTGATCAGAAAATCTCTCATAACTCGATAAATTTTAAAGATCAGATGAAGCGGATTGTGGTTCTAGAATAAGGACATGAAAGTCTTTCAATGTACAAGAAATCAGCGAAATCTATTTTTTAAGCTAGATCGGCCGGACCGCTTTTATGGATATTCTCTCTTAATTATGAGTATGAATAAAAATCATCAATTGAAAAGAGCACGATTCTGAAAAAGCAGCACTGATTAGCAACTTAAAAATTTCTTTAATTGGGTGCATATTCCGACTGTTGATTATCCGTAGAACTGCAACCTTTTGTAGCAACCTCAGAAATGAGAAAGTAATGAACTACTTGTTCAGAAATAAAAAAAAAAACCATATCAATTGTGCGAGTTTCCAGATCGGAATATTAAAAGCACAAATTATGCAAGATATTATAAAAAAATTATAACGGTCTAAGTTCTCACGTGCAAAGAAAACACAACGAGTAAACCTAAATTAAAGACCAACAACGTCTATCAATCAGCACAGTTACTAAACTATTAACACGAGTCTCTTTTCTTCTTTTTCAAAACAGCTCCAAGGTCATCAACACTCTTTCTTTTCTATTTTAGCCGGGATAAGTTCCTGCTGACCTCTAGTGTCCTTACATGTTCTTTACCATACTTGGAGATATAAATTACCAGTGCACGCTCATAGCAGTCTTTTGCTTCATCTGTGTCGCCCAGAGCACTGTGTAAATCACCCAGATTTTTGTAAGAGGTTGCAACATTAACATGCTCAGCTCCCAGCTTTTTCAGAAGAGTCTCCAGTGCACGCTTATAGCAGTCTTTTGCTTCATCTGTGTCGCCCAGATCACTGTGTAAAGTACCCAGATTGTTGTAACACCTTGCAACATCAACATGCTCAGCTCCCAGCTTTTTCAGACGAATCTCCAGTGCACGCTTATAGCAGTCTTTTGCTTCATCTGTGTCGCCCAGAGCCTTGTGTAAAGTACCCAGATTGTTGTAACATGCTGCAACATCAACATGCTCAGCTCCCAGCTTTTTCAGACGAATCTCCAGTGCACGCTTATAGCAGTTTTTTGCTTCATCTGTGTCGTTCAGAGCCTTGTGTAAATTACCCAGATTGTTGTAAGAGCTTGCAACATCAACATGCTCAGGTCCCAGCTGTTTCAGACGAATCTCCAGTGCACGCTTATAGCAGTCTTTTGCTTCATCTGTGTCGCCCAGATCACTGTGTAAACTACCCAGATTGTTGTAACACCTTGCAACATCAACATGCTCAGCTCCCAGCTTTTTCAGACCAATCTCCAGTGCACGCTTATAGCAGTCTTTTGCTTCATCTGTGTTGCCCAGAGCCTTGTGTAAATTACCCAGATTGTTGTAACATCCTGCAACATGAACATGCTCAGCTCCCAGCTTTTTCAGACGAATCTCCAGTGCACGCTTATAGCAGTCTTTTGCTTCATCTGTGTCGCCCAGAGCCTTGTGTAAAGTACCCAGATTGTTGTAACAGCTTGCAACATGAACATGCTCAGCTCCCAGCTTTTTCAGACGAATCTCCAGTGCACGCTTATAGCAGTCTTTTGCTTCATCTGTGTCGCCCAGAGCACTGTGTAAAGTTCCCAGATTGTTGTAACACCTTGCAACATCAACATGCTCAGCTCCCAGCTTTTTCAGACGAATCTCCAGTGCACGCTTATAGCAGTCTTTTGCTTCATCTGTGTCGCCCAGAGCACTGTGTAAAGTACCCAGATTGTTGTAACACCTTGCAACATCAACATGCTCAGCTCCCAGCTTTTTCAGAAGAATCTCCAGTGCACGCTTATAGCAGTCTTTTGCTTCATCTGTGTCGCCCAGAGCACTGTGTAAAGTACCCAGATTGTTGTAAGACCTTGCAACATCAACATGCTCAGTTCCCAGCTCTTTCATCTGAATCTCCAGTGCACGCTTATAGCAGTCTTTTGCTTCATCTGTGTCGCCCAGAGCCTTGTGTAAACTACCCAGATTGTTGTAAGAGATGGCAACATCAACATGCTCGGGTCCCAGCTCTTTCATCTGAATCTCCAGTGCACGCTTATAGCAGTCTTTTGCTTCATCTGTGTCGCCCAGATCACTGTGTAAAATACCCAGATTGTTGTAAGAGCTTGCAACATCAACATGCTCAGGTCCCACCTGTTTCATCTGAATCTCCAGTGCACGCTTATAGAAGTCTTTTGCTTCATCTGTGTCGCCAAGAGCCTTATGTAAAGTACCCAGATTGTTGTAAGAGCTTGCAACATCAACATGGTCAGGTCCCAGCTTTTTCGTTTGAATTTTTAACATCCATTCACCATAGACTAGTGCCGCTCTAAACTCACTGTGGTTTTGGCACATGTCATTAAGGCTCCGAAGGCCATCCGGAAAATTACACGAGGCTCTTTCGGTCGCTTCTGGTATTCCTTTCCCGAGTGACATGTCTTCAATTTTTAAGCTCAACGTTTTAAGATGGGGAACTATTCTTGTTCCCACAACAATAGATTCTAGCTCTTCAAATTTTGAGAAAGACATAACTGCGCCATACACCACTTTGTGGCTTTGATCCTTTGCGAAACCTTTTGTCGCAGATTTAATAACATCAAGAACGACACCATGGACTCGAATATAAACACCAGTTGATTCTTCTTCAATTAGCAACAGTGAACATCGACTCATCCTCGTTCTTATCATATCTTCATCTTCAAATTCGTCATCAGTTGTTTTAACATACTCGATAATAATGTCTTGCAGTATCGGCTGTGATGCACACATTGAAAGAAAAAGGAACATGTGATGCAAAATTATATCATTTTCCATCACCATTTCGACAGCAAGTGTTATTGCTTTGGTCATGGTCTTCGGATAGGCTGGATTTGTCGTAGCAAGAATGCTTTCAGTATTGCTTCGTTTCCCCTCTTCCAATTTCTTCAAATAGTCGGTCCAGCCAAATTTCGAGGTTCCTTTATTCTGACGAACTTGTCTCACATACGTTGCTGCGGCTGCCAATGAAAGTGGCTGGTAGTCTAGTTCTTTTGCAATTTCTTTTTCCATCTTGGCATCTGAGATACCAGAAAGGAGGTTAAGCAGGAAGCATGCATCATCAGGATGCATTCCTGCGCTGATTGAGATATTTTGTATGGAAGAGCTTGACAACGGTATAGATGCAGTGTCTTGTGTTGTTATTAGCATCTGACCCCTTGCCCACAACTCGCTGTCTGCATCTGGCAAATAATCGATTGTACGAGATTCGCTGGTCACATTATCAACTACTAACAGCCATGAAGCGTAATGCTCAATTTTTGTACTTATTAAGGTCTTGAAATATGAAATCTTCTCGTCTGTGTTCAAATCCTGGGAGCGGTAAGTGTTTGTTATTTCATACCCGGGACATTTGCAATGTTGAGCTAAAAGGACATACGATTTCAAAAGTGCTTCTGAGTTTTCAGCATTCAACGTCATGACAAATGAAGCTGCGGAAGGTATTTGTTCGACCTCGTCGTAAAATCGCCTGGCTGCTAAACGGGCCAGCTGAGATTTTCCACTTCCTGGATTTCCTGACAAATACAGTATGCTCAACCCATCATTGGCGTCTTTTAGGGTTTGGAGGTTTTGTAAAACTTCATCAACTTCAGATTCCCGACGAGCGATGTCGTGGCTAGGTTTGGGAGGGAGAATACAAAATGGAGAGACATCGGAATTTAATTGCTCTTCTAGGGCAAGCCTCTGTTCTTCTTTCACTTGAAGTTCCTCTTCTTTGTCCTTAACTTCTTGTTTCAAGTCGACAACCTTCCTTAAAACTTCGTTTAACTCCTCCGTTAAGAAGTTTGTCTGATTTTGAACTTCGTTGATTTTCAATGACGGGAGACCGAGTGCGTGGAATGCAGTTTTAACCTTTGTAATGACAGTTTGGAAATCTCCGTTGGAGAGGTGGCCCCGAGGCATATGTGCAAATTCTTCATTTCGAAATTTCCTGAAGTCGTCCACATTTGATCTAATTGATGGATTGAGAGAATATATGCAATCTGAATACAGGATAGCGTAAAACAGCATGGTACAATCCCATTCAGCTCTATCGCCATTCTTCATGGTTGTCAACAGCCCAGCGTTTCTTTTTCTGTTTCGAGTAGACTCGCCATTCCAGAAGTCCATTCCATTTTTGGGTTGATCTTTCCATTCTCCCAGTGTTGTCTTGTATCGATTGTCCCATTCTTGTTTGAAGATGGTTCGCAGACCCTCAGTTAGTATGTCAGTGACAACGTAACAAATCCTGTAGTAATTCAGTTGCTCTGTGGTGTACTTCAACACAGTGGCCATTATCAGTTACATCCTATTAAAACCATAGTTATGTTAGTACCCAATAGGATTATTTCTATCCTATCTATCTATCTATCTATCTATCTATCTATCGAAATTAGGACTGCAGCCAATACGATTGGCTGCAGTCCTACACTCCTGGTAGAGTCACCCATGCCGAACATGTCGAAAGGTAAAAACCAGACTAAGAGTGATCCCCTGGACCTCAAGTTGGAGGATGGACGCAAGGTTAACGACCCTGCCCCGTAGAAAGAAACACATGTTACAGAAGCCGGATGCATTGACAATACAACTCAAACCAGGGGTGTTGCTGCTGGGGCCGTAATGACGCCCTTGGGCCAAAGCCGGCGGGAAAAATTCAGGAAGGGAAAGAGGCAAAACTTAAAATAGAGGGTGCGTGAACGGAACGACTAAAACAGCGATGGAGAGAGGAGTATAGTACGAAAGAAAAGGAAGTAAAACATAGTGCTGGGGAAGATAAGAGGAATTGGTTGGAGGAGAGGGGAAAAGGCTGCTGAGGATGGTAGAAACAAGGAGCTATACAGCATAGCCAGGACAATAACCGGGGAACGGAGGAGGCGAAAAGTAGGTGTAAAAGACAAACAGGGGGTGCTTAAGACATCCTTACTCGGTTCACAGAGAAAGCATGTGGAACATCATGGGGAGCTATGGAATTCCGCACAAGATAATGAGCGTGATAGTAAGTATATACGAAGGATTTTAATGCGCCTTAATTGAGCTATACAGCATAACCAAGAGCGGAGGAGGCGAAAAATATGTTTGAAAGACAAACAAGGGATGATTAAGACAGAATCAAAAGAAAGATTGCAGAGATGGTTGAGCATTTGAGTGAAATTTTAAACAGACATGACCCAACAAATCCGGGAGAGAATGAAGAAACAGGAGAACTGGAGTAGATTGAGGAAATAGATGGAAATGAAGGAAGGTGATTTTCGTGATTGCAACAACTGGAGAGGAGTGACTTTGCTACCCATCATCAGTAAAATATTCCAGAGGATGCTGCTAGGGCGGATCAAGAGAGGTGTAGACAAGACGCTTCAAAAAGAGCAGGCTGGCTTTAGACCAAATGACAGTGCAACTGAACAGATCCTTATAATTAAAAAAATAACATCTCAGAGCAGGTAAACGAGTCTGTACACGCACTTAGTGGACTTTGAAAAAATCCTTCGATTCGGTTCACAGAGAAAGCTTGTGGAACATCATGGGGAGCTATGGAACTCCGCGAAAGATGGTGAGCGTCATAGTAGGCATATCTGGAGGGTTTAATTGCGCCGTAATCGACGGATGTGAGATATCAGACTGGTTCAAGATTTAGTCAGTAGTAAAGCAGGGATGTGTTATGTCAGGATTCTTATTCTTACTGGCCATGGATTGGATCATGAGGAAGACAACCGCAGACTACAAGACTTGGGTGTGAAGACACGGAGATTGACGGAAGAAGCAACCATTGTGGACAAAGAAGGTAGAGGCAGTGGTTATATTAGGAACAGACCGCAGAAAGCACGAGGTGCATTCCAGAGACTATGGAAGGTGTGGGCAGCCAGAGGAATAAGAAGGAGAACCAAGATACGCCTGTTCAAGACTTAGTCCGACCGGTTCTGCTATGTGGTTGGGAAACATGGAAGATCACCAAGACCGGTGAAAGAAAACTGAACAGTTTCCAATGTCAATGCCTAAGACGGAAACTGACGATTAGATGGCAGCACAGAATGACAAATAAGAGAGTAGTTGAAATGGCAGAGATCAACGAAATTAGTTGCGAGGCGCGAAGAGGAAGGTGGAACTGGTTAGGACACGTACTCGGGAGAGAGGGTGTAGACGACCGTTTTACGGCATTAGAGTGGAAACCAGGTCCAAGGGTAAGAGGGAGACCAATGACCACTAGGAGAAGGACTGTCGAAAGAGGAAGAGGCAAAGTGAGGTGGAGGAGCTGGAATGTGGCCTAACGAGCGATGATGATGATGATGATGCACACCACACGTGACAGTTAACTTTAATCGTAACCCGTGGTTTCTCGGCGAAAGGAAATAAATGATTACTCTGATGCTAAAGATCGGAAACATAAATAGATGCAGAGAAAATGTGTACCGAGCCTGTGGGGTACACTCTACACTCAATCGTCCAATCCTTGTTTTATTGTTTATCATCAACGTTCACCACGTCACAAACTTCGAACAATCTCTCCTCAAACCTATCACTCTAATTATCACGTCTCCTGTTTCACGTCTCCTGTTTCAATCTTAACCTTCACGTGAAAAGTCTCATGTCACTCAACTGACTTCCGTTTAAAAGGTTACTTGGAACTCACTTTGGAATCAGTGAGTTAGATAATACATACCGTTCAAGAACTTTGAGAAACCTTGGGAATACTTGAACTGTCTGCAATCAAAGGATGAACAATTTAGACCAGGACCAGTCGTCAGCTAATCATGTTAAACAACAACTGAACAGTCTAAGCTCGAAGTTAAGCGTGACTGTCCAACCAGTGTTCGTTAGCCCTAAGCTCGATCAACAGCTTAAGCAACACGAAATTAAGCCCCCTATTGTTAACCAACAATGTATCGTTTATGAATTTAAATGTAACCTGTGTGATGCAGGGTATGTGGGCTATACTCGTGGTCACTTACACGAGCGCGTAGAAGGGCACACAAGGAAATCATCTTCTATCTACAAACACTACCACCTCCAGCACAATAGTGAAATGCCTGAACGCTTGATCGAGCAATTCAACGTCATCGCGAAATGTAACGGCAAATTTGATTGCCTTGTTAATGAAATGTTATATATTCGCATGCGTAAGCCAACACTGAACGTGCAAACGGATTCCATCCGCGCCAAGGTGTTTGTTTAAGCCGTTCATTCTAATTTATGCTATTCTTGTACCTTTCCTTATTTGCATGTTTTTAAACTAGTCTCTTGATAATGGAGTCACGATGACCCCGAAACGTCGAGTAATAAATCTTTCCTGGTTTTTTCTATGCCTTTGCTTTAGCAAATCCCTGCTGATCAAGAATTTAGCATCACGCGCTTTTAAAGCTGCACCAGCGGTAAAAGTATCCAAAGGATTTTTTTTTAAATATCATAGGGAAAAAGGGCAGGCATCGTGTTTGGTTTTTACCTATTATCTATTGGAGGACAAATACACTTATTATATAAAACAAATATAATCCATGTTGCCTTGGTTCTTTACAGTAATAGATCACAGAAAACGTGTGGTAAGAACATCAGTGACACACTCGGCTGCGCTTCGTGTGCCACTTTTTTGTTCTCACCACATTTTGATTTCATCTGTGATTTCTTACTGAAAAGACGCAGGGCTACATAGAAGTTGACAAGTATTGAGTGTAGTTTGTTGATGTGCTGTGACCCATTAGTCAAGATTATTTTCAAACTTCTTTCGCCCTTCCAAAATGTACAAAATTCGTGGCTCACTTGAGAGGGGGGTAATCCAGAAGATTAAATTGACCAGCAAAAAAACTTCGAGAAATTTCAAATACAAAGGACAATACTTCTAAAGCGTTTATCAGATGAATATGATTTCGGACCAGCAGGCCATTTCTCTTGATTCGCTGAAGTAATTACTTTTACTTGGGTAGGTTACTGCGTTGCGTCAATTGAGACAAGATAGTTAAGTTTCTCTTGGGTACGTTTGGTTGCTCTCACCTGAAAGATTTGATCGTTGAAGAAAAGTCAAAATGAAGGGTAGACTTCGATGAATATAGTCATAGTAGAAAATCTTTCCCCAGATTAAGCCAAGATATCCATGGGAAATAATAAGCGACCTACTATGAAGTGTTGACATTTGGAATAAGTCCACTAAAGAAGACACATAACGAAAAGAGTAAGTGATTCAAGGAATTTACTTTGTGTTGCTGTTTATTCCTCTGTGATCTCACGGACACAGCATCTCATATGCTTTGAAGTCTTGTTTGCTCAGCTGTTGCAGTCTTTCTGCAACTGGTATTTCTCAAAGAACTCTGAAAACAAGGGATAGTTCTCCCACCAAAATGTCTGGAGCTTTGATAAAATTGAAGCGGGAATAATCCGCGTTTCCTTATTTTAAATTTGCTGTCCTGCTAAACATAGCAATTCATTCGTCCAGCTGATATACTCTGACTATTAGATAGAATCATAAAGCGTGTGAAAATAACATCAATAACATTTTCATTGATTTAGAGTAACTTGTGCCAAGGACGATGAATAAATCACAGTGATTGGCATGAAATTTCATCTTGTTACAATCTCATCAAGCTCATTCTCCTCTAAATAATTGTCTCATCTCTTAACATCGAATATGGCATCAACATAAGAATTTTGCGCCGAAAGTTCGCTTATTAATTTTTCACTTAAGAGGAGCTGTATCTGCTACTAACCCTTTTGATGAAGGTGAATTTAGGTATATTTACTGTTGTCAAAGTTATGAAAACATTTAGAGAAGTATGCATACTTTATTTGCGGTAACGAATGTAAGCCAAGTTCTATAGTCAATAAAACACTCAACGAACTTGAAAACGCAAGTTAATCCGGCTTTGTCGCAATGCACCTTATTCACCGCTCTGAATAGCTGCACCCTGCAAGTATCCTATCAATTGTTTTACTAACAACTACTGAATTCGCTTTGCCCGCAGAAAAATAACACAATAATGTGCCTCGACCCAGTAATCTTAATTGTTTTTCAAATTTAAATTCCCCTCATAAAAGTCGGTGGAAAAATTCCTGGCATTAGACACAATTTCACATTGCTCTCATAAATGGTAAGTAGATAATAGAACAGCATTAAGGAAATACTAAATTTTGGTGAATCGCTGACTGTACGCATATCTGACGTGACATTTTTCTAGCAAGAAAATGTGAAATCTTGAACAGAGGTCAACAATATTTCTTTCTCTTATTATAGAATGTTTTGATCAGTCTTTTTCAGGGGGCAATTTACGAATCCATAAATGAGGACAACAAAGGAGTTGCTCACCTTAGGGTATGAGATATGACCCCTTCCCCGGTCCTATTGGTATTTTTCTAGAAAACTTGTTTAGCAGCGAAAGTGGGTGGGAGGGGGGGGAGAGGGGGGCATTAATATAACCACCATTGTAACAGCATAGACTAAAGAAAAAGGCGGATAAAAAGGCAACCTTCAGGCACGCGTGCCTTACGTGATTACTACAACAATCAAGTTTAAATTATATTCAAGAATGTTTTGATCAAAGTCCTTTTCAGAGCAGAAACAAGGATAAAATATATTTTAAAAAGCTTTTTTAACAGACTGTTAAAATCTTCTCAAAAGAATCTATGCAGTAAGTACAACAGTTGGTTTTGATTTCCGTGTAAGCCTCAAAATTTCAACCAGACAAGACAAAAAACAAATAATTGATCATGCGCAACCAGCCTTCAACTCGTAAACAAGAACACGAAAGTGAAACCAGTGTGTTACGTATTGTGACCCTAACAAATAATAAGCCAATGACATTGAGTCTTTTTGATTGGCGTCGATAACCGCAAGGGTCAAATTTGTGCGTTGAACCGTTAAGTGTAAACTGAGCTGTTTCGTCCGATGTAGGTAAAAAATTATAAAAAGCAAAGCACATCTGCTCGCCCTCGGTCCTTAAAGCAACATTTTAAGAAATTATCGAATCGGCAGGAGTGCGTTCTGAGGAGAAGGGAAGGGGGGTTTACTTGCACACAATTCCACATCCCCTCTTTGAATTCAAGGCAGACAAAAGACAACATCAAGAAAATACTCAATTTGGCGATTTTCTAGGTGTAGTCGTGTCTGGTGTGAAATTTCAAATAACTGGAGTAAGCTCTTGAACGGAGGTCAAAGATATTCGCATGTCTTCCTCTAGAATGTTCCGCTCAAATTTTATTTTTGAACGCATTGAAACAATTCTTGGAGCAAACAAGAAGAAAGTTTTAAATTGAGAGTCTTTCACCGAAGGAAAAACTTTCGAACGAACAATTCAGTATAAAGTTCACAATCTTCAGCAATAACACAACTTATAATTTATTTATCAAAATACGCCGCCAGATAGGAGCATATAAGGTTACAAAATTAGGGGAAAGTGTTTGTGGACAACGCTGAATTCGAAAAGATCTCTGATCGACTGCGGAGTTGTTTTTGTCAGTTTATTTCCACGGTGTCCTCGCACATACATTCGCAAAACTTCCCCAACATCAAAACATACACAATGACTAAATCGACACTGAGAAAGTTCATGATCCTTTATCAATCTCGAGATCGAAGACTAGTGCTGTATTTCCTGCTGTTGTCCTAAGGAAGGTCGATGTTTCGTTTCAGTTCCATGATTAACAAGTCCTGGCCCGCTACAGAAACAATTAAATTACACTATAATACAATGTCCTTACCAGTGAGGTTAATTTCCGTGCCTTGTGGACGACGAAGGCTTGCAATCAAAATGTTCTGATCTGTACATTGAAGGTTAAAACAACGCGCAATAAACGATTACACTTTATCACATATTGTACCGTTGTCCATAACAAAAATGAATAATTCTCACACAAAATGTTTTGCTGTTTTAACGAAATGGTAGCGGGGGTAATCTGCTTTTTGCTTCTTGCTTTTTGCTTTTTCAGCATTATTTTCTAACAGAACAAAGGAGTTCCCTCGTACATTTGACACACTCAGCATATCAGATGATGAAATCGTGAAATGTATCAAATAACGTCACTTTTTAACAATTTCACTAATCTAAAGTGACGATAGTAGAGATCGCTGTGCTATTTCACATTTCTGCTAAACCTGTTTTATTAAGCTCCTTCTCCGCCAGCTTGTGTCGTATCAATATAAGTATTCTAGGATGTATGCTTGTTTATTTTCCGTTTAAAACGAGTTTTAACTGCTACACATAACTTTCATGTAAATGGTTGAAGTACACGTAGCGTCGTTGAAGTTTTAGAAACCTTTCAGTGAGGTACGCATACTTCATTTGCGATAAAGAACATAAAGAACATAGGCTGCTTTCTGTAGTCAACAAAACACTCGAGGAACTCAAAAGCGAAAGCTAATCTGGCTTTGTCGTAATGCACATTATTCACATCCCTAAATAGCTGCACCCTGCTAGTATTATATCAATTGTTTTCGCGTTGGTTTCATCATTGGTCCATTTTTGGCCCCCGGCAAATTAACGCAACAATGTGCCTTGACCCGTTGATCTTAAAAATTTTTCAAACTTACTCTTCTGTACAAAAGTTGGTGAAAAATTCCTCGCATTAGACACTATTTCACATTGCTCACATAAATGGTAAGTAGATAATAGAACAGCATCATGGAAATACCAAATTTTGGTGATTTTCTGACCTTACGAGTCTCTGTCGTGACATTTTTTAAGCAAGAAAATGTGAATTCTTGAACAGAGGTCAACGATGTTTCACCGTCCTGTTATAGAATGTTTGGATCAAAGTCCTCTTTCAGAATAACCAAGGACTGAGTGATTAAAACAAGTAGAACGAAGGAGTTGCTTACTTTAGGGTATGGGATATAATTCCCCCCCCCCCCCGGTCCTGTACGTAGTTTTTTAGAAAACTCCCCCATCAGCGAGAGTGGGGGGGGGGGGGGGAGGGGGGAATTAATATACACACCTTTCTTACATCCTTAACTCAAAAAGACAACAGATGAAGAAGCAAGCTTCTAGCACGTGTGCCTGGCGTGATATAACAACAATCGAATTTAAAATATGGTAAAGAATGTTTTGATCAGAGTCCCTTCTTTAGAGCAGTAACAAGGTTAAAGCATTAGATTTTAAAAAAACCTTTTTCACAGACAGACTGTAAAAATCTTTTTTAAAGAATCTATGCAATAAATAAAACAATCGGTTTTGATTTCGGTGAAGGAGTCAAGATTTCAACCACACAAGAAAAGAAACAAAAATGGCTCATGTGCAACCAGCCTTCAACTCGTAAAAAAAAAACACCAAAGTAAAACCAGTGTGTTAGGCATTATGACCCTAACAAAATAGTAATCCGATGACATTGCGTGTTTTTTGGTGGCGTAGATAACCGCAAACGTCACATTTATGCGCTGATCCGTCAAGTGTAAGCAGAACTGTTTAGTTCGATGTAGGTAAAAACATTACAAAGTGGGAAAGCCAAGCACATCAGCTCCCCCCCCAGCCTTTAAGAAAATATTTAAAGAAATTCTCGAATCGGCAGGAGTGGGTTCTGGGGTGAAGGGAAGGGGGGTTTACTTGCACACCATTCCACATTCCCTCTCTGAATACAAAGCAGACAAAAGACAACACCAAGAAAATACGCAATTTAGCGATTCTCTAACTGCAGTCGTGTCTGGTGTGATATTTCAAGTAACTGGAGTAAGCTCTTGAACAGAGGTCAACCATATTCGCATGTCTTCTTCTAGAATGTTCTGTTCAAATTTTGTTTTTAAACCACATTGAAACAATTCTTGGAGAAAACTAGGAGAAAGGTCTAAATTAAGAGTTTTTCACGGATGGAAACACTTTCGAACGAACAATTCAGTTTAAAGTTCACAATCTTCAGCAATAAAACATAACTTACAATTTCATCATTCAAATGCAAAGTTAGCAAAGAGCGTATAAGGTTACTAAATTAGGGAAAAATTTTTTTATAAACAACGGTGAATTCGAAAAACATCTCAATCGACTGTGGAGTTGTTTTTGTCAGTTTGTTTCTACGGTGTCCTCGTAGACAACATACATTCGCAAAACTTCCCCAACATCAAAACATACGCAATGACTAAATCGACAAGAAAGTTCCTGATCCTTTATCAATCTTAAGATTGAAGACTAGTATATGTTTAGTTTAGTTTCAAAATTAGCAAGTCATGGCCGGCTACAGAAACAACTAAATTACTCTATAACAAAATGTACTTACCAGCGACCCTAATTTCAGCGCTTTGAAGAACAACTAAGGCTGATAAATACTATCGTTTGTCTTTCGATCTTTTCACTGCCGCTGTGGATCGTGATGGCCGGCCTCGCACGAAGAAGGATTGTAATCAAAACGCCCCGATCTGCACATTGAAGGTAAAAACAAAGCGCAATAAACGATTATACTTTATTCCATATTGTACCGTTGTCCATAAAAAATGGATAATTCTCACACCAAAAATTCTGCTGCTTTAACGAAATGATATTGGGGTTAATCTGCTTTTTGCTTTTTTCAGCATTATTGTCTAACAAAACAAAGCAGTTCTTTCGTTCATTTGACACACGCAGCACATCAGATGGTCAAATCATTAAGAGCATCAAATAACGTCACTTTTGACATTTTCACTAATCTGGGGTGACGATTGTAGAAATTGTTGCGCAATTTCACCTTTTTTTTGCTGAAACTGTTTTATTAAGCTCCTTCTCCTTCAGCGTGTGTCGTATCAATATCAGTTTTCTGAATGTATCCTTGTTTATTTTAATGGACGACGGTGAATTCGAAAAGATCTCCAATCGACTGCGGAGTTGTTTCTATGGTGTTCTCTTAGACAACATACATTCGCAAAACCTCCCCAACATCAAGACATGCGCAATGACTAAACAGACAAGAAAGTTCGTGATCCTTGATCAATCTCAAAATCGAAGACTACTACTGTATTTCTCGCTAGAAAACTCCCCTATCAGCGAAAGTGGGGTGGAGGGGAAAGGGGGCCATTTACATACACACCATTCTGTCATCCTAACTCAAAAAGAAAGGCAGATGAAGAAGGAATCTTCAGACACCCGTGCCTGATATGATTACTACAACAATTGAACTTAAATTATGTTCAAGAATGTTTTGATCAAAGTCCTTTTTATAAGAGCAACAAGGATAACACATTCGATTTTAAGAAGCCTTTTTTAACAGACTCAAGATATCTTTTTCAAAGAATCTATGCAATAAGTACAACAGTGGGTTTGTCAAAATTTGAACCACGCAAGACAACAAACAAAAATTGCCCATGCTCAACCAGCCTTCAACTCGTAAACAGGAACACGAAAGTAAAACCAGTGTGTTACGTATTGTGACCCTAACAAATAATAATAATCCGATGACATCGCGTGGTTTTTGAAGGCGTAGACAACCGCAAACGTCACATTTGTGCGTTGATCCCTTCTTCGGTCCTTAAAAAAATATTTTACGAAATTCTCGAATTGGCAGGAGTGGGTTGTAGAGAGAAGGGAAGGGGGGTTAACTTGCACACCATTCCACATTCCCTCACTGAATACAAAGCAGACAAAAGACAACATCAAGAAAATGCTAAATTTGGCGATTTTCTTACTGTAGTCGTGTCTGGTGTGATATTTTAAGTAATTGGAGTAAGCTCTTGGACAGAGGTCAAACATATTCCCGTGTCTTCTTCTAGAATGTTCTGATAAATTTTTTTTTTCGAACCGCATTGAGACAGTTCTTGGAGCAAACAAGGAAAATGTTCTAAATTGAGAGTCTTTCACCAGAGGTAAAACTTTTGAACGAACACAATTCAGTTTAAAGTTCACAATTTTCAACAATAAAACAAACCTTACACTTTCTTCATCAAAATGCTCAGCAAGCTAAGAGCGTGTAACCTTACAAAATTAGGGGGAAATGTTTGTGGACTGAACGGTGAATTCGAAATATTGGATCTCTAATCGACTGCGGAGTTGTTTTTGTCTGTTTGTTTCTCTCAGACAATCGACAGTCGCAAAACTTCCCCAACATCAAAACACACGCAATGACTAAATAGATAGAAAGATCACGATCGTTTTTCAATCTCGAAATCGAAGACTAGTACTGTATTTCTTGCTGTTGTCCAAAGGCAGGTGTATGTTTAGTTTCAGTTTCAAAGTTAGCAAGTCCTGGCCTGCTACAGAAACAACTAAATTACTCTATAACACAATGTACTTACCAGCGAGGCTAATTTTATTGCCTTGAAGAACAACTATGGCCGATAAGTGGTATCCTTTGTCTCTCGATATTTTCACTGCCGCTGTAGATCGTGATGGCCGAGCTCGCACGAAACAGACTCCGAGTCGTTTTCTTCCAATCAAAACGTCTCGATCTACGTACATCGGAGGTGAAAACAAAGCGCAATATAGACGATTATACTTTAGCTGATGTTGTATTTAACGACGATGAATAACCACAGTTTCTTCATACGAGATAAGATTTACCACTCAGCAAATTAAGAATCGTATTAATTCCGTCTAATTAAGAGAAACCATAGTTCTGAAAATGAATGAAGGACAAATTCCTAATTTGTTGTATTGAAAACGAAATCGACTTAGCATTTGATAAATGATTAAAATGAAGCAGGGTTAAACTCGTTCATAGAGCCGTTAAGCTTTGCAGTTTGAGTCTACGAGCAAGAATTTTTAACAACACCCTTAATGGTCTTAAACCGAGCTTTGTTCTCGTTGTAAACAAACGCTTTTCGGAATTTTCTTCTCGAATCTTGATTACAAATGATCTATACTTACTTCGTTGAGGATTTCAGGAACTATCGCGGGAACAAGTCGACTCTTTTAGCCAACAAAATGACAAAGTACTGCTCGGAAGCAACCACGCTCAAAAGTGAAACCAACTTGCAGAGCGCAGCATATCTGATGACATTTCACGTGTTGACTTTCACAACTAAACGTCAACAGCAGACAGATTTGCGCCTGATCTCATTAGAAAAGAATCCAGGTCATTCAAACAGCTGATGACTAAATTGTAGGTAGGGGTAGGGTTAGGAGGAAGAGATCATTAAGGAAGTTTTGTCGTTTCGGGCTTAATTTCTGGGTTAGCAGCGATACTAAAGGAAGAGTCATTTTTATAGCCTGGGGGGCCGGAGGAAATGTTTTTTTTAAGGGAGAGGTTGGGATCACATAGTTTTCAGGAGGAAAGGAGGGGGTATCAGTCGTCTCTAACAGAGTTAAGAGCTTTGGTAGAGCTAAAACGTCAACTAGCATTGTATATGGTCCATTCTATATTGAAAAAAATAATTACACTGGAAAAACATAGTTTTCGTCAGAATAAGAAGTATACTCACATTTAAGTCAACTGAAAACGTCAAGTTCTGCCTTTACAGGTAATTATGAAGCAATTCAAACAAAAACTTACCATCGCTATATCTAATATAAATTTCAAAAGCTTTTCAATACAAAGGAAATCAATATTTTGGTTGGTACTTTTCAGAGGATTGGAGAGGAAATTTTTTTCCATAATGTCTGTTACCTTGAAAGTATGTAGAAAACTTTGCATATTTGAAACCCATTCATTCAGATTTAATAAAAATATTATTTTATAAGACGTAAAGAAATTCATTCACTCTTTAGTATAATGGTGATCTGTATGAAAACAACATAAAGTTGAAAATTCACCATGTTAAGTGTTTACTGAATGTTCTGGAGCCTTCATTCAAGGCTGGTAGCCTTCACAAAATTGGAAAATTTCTTTCTGTCATGAAATATTTGCTGATTAAATTTCAAGTAATTGCTGGATTTTTGCCACCATTTCCAGCCAATCTACAATGGTAATAGGACTGAGTGGAGTCTTATTCGGTCTGTTGTTATCATACACGTGATTAACAAAATTGGACGACTGCAAAGCAAGAGACCAATTTGTCAATCACGAGTATGATTACAGAAAGAAGTGGACGACAAAAAGTCCTGTTACCATTTAATCTTAATTGTTATTATTTCTGAAAACAAGAAATACATTTAGGTCAAATATCTCTGGTATAGACAATGTCTACAGTAAAAAAATATGTCTCCATTTTGGAAATTCTTAATTTTTTTTTTGAGACAAGTGGTTGATGCTATGGTTATTGTGATTAACTCTGTGATTGGTGAATTTGGCTGACTGAACTTAGTATGATTCGTTGCTTCAACTGTCCAATTACAGGTATCCGATTAAAGCCAACTGTCCAATTATGCTGTCCAATTAAAGCTGTACAGAATGAGAAGTGAAAAAATGAAGCAGCTAATGCACCAATCACATTTGAAGAAATTGCAATGGTTATGATTAGTGCCTGAATAGCCTGTTCCAGGCATTCAGTCGGCAAAACAAAGTGTGATAGTAAACAGCACTATAGTAGCAGAGAAGTGAAAAAGCGAGGGAGGCTTGGGTTGAGTCACTCAATGAATCCCACCTAACCCAAGCCTCTCTTGCTGTTTCACTTTTCCGTTCCAGTCTCTGCTCCGTTTTACTAACTGAACACCTGGAGTGAGCCAATGCCTGAAACGACCTTGCATCGTTTTAAAAATTATTTTTTGTATTATCCGTGTCAAATCAACATAATCTAATTTCATAAAGAAAATTAGAAACAAATTTTGGCCTCCCAAATTTACGGTGCCGTCTATTTTCTCTGTGCTCATTGATTAAGCAGATTTTTTCATGTCATTCAATAGTTTGGCCAAAATGGCGTAGGTATCTCTTCCATTCTTTAACCGCGATTCAGCGTACTGGATAAGACTGGCTTGCAGGCTCAACACCCTTTGCCTATTGTAACGGATCATCTATATTTAAATAAAAAAAAAAACAAAAATTAAAATCAATCGAGTAAGCAGGTTGTCTACTACAGTTAGAGCCAAATGACAATTTCTTTTTATGTGCCCTTGACAAATATTTAAATCATCTGCCATTTCTCCTCTGTTTATTACGCCGGCACAAAGGATTCATTGTAAACCAAGGAAAATGGTTGAAAATCAAATTGTTGATGAGCGATTTTGTCATTTTGGATTCTCAGAGGTTAAAGGTACTTGCTCATCACTTTCAAGTTAGCCAATCAGTGTGTACAAAAAACACTATTCACTTGTGTGGTGTAAACTAATTTTTTGATATTCAGGTTTTAACATGAAAATGGCACAAATATTCATATTATTGTTTGACATGTGTCTAACAAGTAAACCAACAACAGGGTGGTCTGCCTGTAAAACAAACCAAGAAATGCAACCAGGCAAGGGTGGCATGCAAAATTTTCTGGCAAAACAGTAAGCCAAAAGTCTATTAAGTAAAACAAAAGGCCTTTTTTATATCATTTTATTCACCTCTTTCTTTGCAGCTTCTGAAATTGAATTGTATGCTTCCTCTGCATCGTCTTTGGCTTTTTGAAGCTAAAAATAAAAAAATGTGTAAAACAATTTAGGATTCTTCAATTCTGGTGTTCACCATAATTATTCAGAAGCTCAACTTGAACTTCGAGTCTATTGCTAAGTGCAGCCTCATGTGAATCACGAGAAAAAAAAAAAACAAAAAAAAAAACAACACTCAATCACATGTAAAAAATCAGAGAGAGGTGCAAAGCACATGTTTGTCAGAACCTTACCATTTCTTGGTTCTTGGGTTTGGCTTTTTCCAGTGCTTTTGTTGCGTTCTCATACTCAACTAGTTTACATGTACGACGGAAAAGCATCTCCTGCAGGGTAACAGATGGACAAAACAAGTGCAGTAAACAGTTAAAATAATCATCTTGAGACAGCAAGAAGAAATAACCAATTAAAAAAAGGGGTTTTCAAAGTTAGGGTACTGGAATTGCAATCCAGAAGTCCCACATTCCAGCTCATCTGTACTTGATGGTTCCAAATTCAATTATACCATGAAGCATTGTAAATTAAAAAAAATTCCCCAAGTCAGTTCATGTTTCCGTTCCACCATTCCAGTCTTTGTTTGCAAGTTTTCCATCCCTCTTGCTTAGCAGTATGAAAATGAAATGTTAATTATTCCAAAGGGTGCTTTCTCTACAGATAACCTCTCTCTTGTGCTACATTCATGTAAATGCTCTAATACTCACCAATGAATTGAAAAAATTGAATGTAATAGAGATAGAGGGGGTAGAACCCAGTGTTCTCATTCAAGACACAACCCACAAACTATTTGGGATATGGGAAATAGATTGGTCAACAGTCTGGCTGATGAATTCTTGTTGTTGTTTGGTTATTTTTGGTTTTCCTCCTCTTTCTTTTTTAGATGCGCAGTGATCCTGAGCTTTTCTCAGGCTGTGACGATGCTCTCATCCCACCCCACCCTAAAAGAAAATAGTCACCTCCTTTCCCCTTCCCTAACCCTGCACACAAAAGGAAAGTTGGTATCCTTTGAAGAGTTCAATAAGATCCAAGTTTTCCAATACATATTTCACATACCTTGGCAGCATCCATGTATCTGGAATAAAGTTCTAAAGTAAAACCTAATGTGTTGTCATCATTAGTGGACATAACATCCAGCGATTCCTAAGGAAAGGAGAAGACACACATACACACAAGTAAGACAAAACAAATTAAACTCTTGGAATTGAAAATACTGCTAGCAACACTGGTTCCTGTCTAAAAAGCTACCATACCTTGACACCATTTAGTGCGCTTGAAAAAGTCAGAAATTTCCTGTAAAAGTAAAGATACATTTTAAAATTAGCTTTTTGTTAAACAAAGGCATACTGTTATTGGTACAAATTCTATTATACTGACATGGAGAAGTTCAACAATCAAGAGCTTCTTTGTTTTTTTCTATCATTTCCTTTATTCTCATGACCTTAATGTACTATGCAGCAGTGATATGGTGAGGAGAATTTAGATGCTGATCACTTCAACAAGAGAGGAAGACATAACTATCATGCTAAGGTCTTGATAGGTCTTGATTGCCTCTTATTGCCAGTTCTCATGATGGTTACAGCAAGTAGAGCTAGCATGTAAGATGTGGTAAAACAGTGGTTGTTCACATGCAAAAAAAAAATCAGCCAAACTATGCCTGGCCCATTATTGCTTGCATTGGAAGTTTGCCACCACAGTTACATGATGGAAAGATATGACATAAATATGAAGTAATTAATACAAAATCATATCATTTAGCAATTTCAGACAAAGAACAACAAACCCTTTCAATTCCTTGGTACTATTATCATCACCAGCCGATGCTGTCATGATGCCAGAGCTAAAATCATTCACTGCTAATGCAACACCTGAAATTCACAAAGAAATTCAAAATTACCAAACTTACATATAATTTTATATATAAATATGCCATCATGGTGAGATTGTCATAATCATACATTATCATAAATTATCAAAAACAATCATACATTTTGCAACATCCTAATACATTATAATACTTAATGAATAATACTTCAAGTATGTCTTTGCCACCCTCATGTTGTTTTCACATGGATGTTCTTTTGATATCAATGTTTTGGCCATACTTTCTGTCAAAATTCACTTGACTAGACCATTCACTAAAATCTTGAGATTTAAAGGTGTCATAGGCTATTTCAGCCTAAACAACCTTAACGCAGATTACACATTCCAGCAAATAAAACATTGCTACATACGTTGCTGACTGTGTACCATTTTGGTGAAGTTCTACAAAAAACAAATAGAAAAACAACTATTTATTGTAGGAATTAATCTCAAAATTGTTCACTCTCACTTAAAACCTAAAACCAAATCTCACTTTCATCTAAAACCTTGCTCTTACCATGGGTGCTGTTTGGTGCAAAGCCAATTTACAAAAGCATATTTTAATTGTTTATTTTATAATTGACATTCAGAGATTGTGTCTTTTCAACCACAATTTCCTGCAGAGTTGGCATTGTTTAATTCCAGGTCTTTTTTCCTCCATAAAAGACCCCCAAAGCAAACCAACAAGATACATGTAAATGTACTCTATCCTTTAACCACAAGTAACACAGGGTGCAGAATCCAAGCCTAAACTGATGTTGTTAGAGGCAAGTATTTACCCTATTAACCCTTAAACTCCAGTGTGTCACCAAAACATTATTTCTCCTCATCATATCAATACAACACCAAGCAGGCAAGTGATGCTCAGATTATTAGTTGATCCAAAACCAAATTCTCTGAACAAACATCATATGAATTGTATGGCAAACAGTAAAGGGAATGACTGAACCATAATGCACCCCTGGAGTAAGATTCTATTTGGAAAAATATAACAACTACTGACCCCATATGTCTCCTTGGTAAGTGGTGTGTACTCTTCCACAAAATCTCTTTTCTTCTGAAATTCTTCATCAAGATCCTAACCAAGAGGAATAACTTCAGGTTATTTGTATTTCTAGGAAGGCCAAGTTATTCTCTTAATGGTTAAATTCAAAAGAAAGTTAGGTCATCTGTCAGCAGGACCTTGTTATTTGCACTTTTGCAAGAGTGTTTCTTCACCTGGAAGAAGAGATTGATACCTAGAGCAACACAAGCAGCTGAGAGGCCTGCAAGGGATCTTACACTGATAAGGATGGACCTAGTATTCAGCAATTTAGTCCCTAAGAGTGACTGACACCTAATTTCTCTTATACCATATCCCCACTGAACCAAACATTAAGGTCAGGAGAATAAAGGAGCTGATCACCAACTAGAGAAGCTCTTGCTTGTTAGACAAATTCTCCATGTCAGCATCTCAGGAAATGTTTAAAGAACAGTATGGAAAATATGCATACTTATGTTTGTGTAGACCACAGTTCAAACTACAATTATTAATATTTTACTTCCCTGAATGAGACATACACTGTATGTAATTAAAACTTACAATAATCCAGTGATATCACAATTTTACCAAATAAAGATTTCTTGGATAAAAGATCAAAACAAAACAAAAAACCATAAAATAAACCATGGAACACTTTGTACCTTGTGACTATGATGCCTGAAATCATCCACAGCTCGTGATAAACTTGTCATAAGGCCTTTTTTCACTTTGCTTCTGACTGGTGGCTATGTTAAAATTTTTTAAAAAAAGTGTTTATATCTTACACAGTAAGTGAGCATGAGAGATGCCATGGACAAACAATTAGCCACTGGTCTCTGAGTTGAAAAGCCAGGCTGAATAATTACTCAGAGCAAGGAATTTAATAATGATTATCAAACTTTCTTTTGCCAAGTTGCAACAGACATGTTCTTGCAAAAAAAATCCCCCAGGTATATAAAAAACCAGCAAGAAAATTGTTCACACATTACCATTGAAATGGTAATATTCTGGAATAGCATACCAATAAAATTCCTAACTTTCGACTGTTCCTCTCAAGTAGCATATTGCTTTAATTGTTTTAAACCATTCTACAACATTGACTGGTGGAAGAGGTTATTGCAGTGAAATGCAATTCAATTTTTTACTCCATTTCTACATACCACCTTAGAAGTGGCTCAGTGGATGTTGTGTCACCTGATTTTGTGTTAAAAACATATATGACCACCAACAATGAATAGTTGTTGATTTTATGAAAAATACACCTACTATGGAGTTTAAATCATGTGTTGTTCTGCCATATTATGTCAGTTTACAAATTTTGAGGAAACAGTCATCCACGCTTACAGGGATTGTGGCCAAACACCTGTAAGCGTATCTTATTATTTGAAAAACTCACATTTTCCTCTTTCAAAAACTTTTGCAAATCTTCATCTTTTGAAAAGGCTGGGTGGGCAACAACAAGTTGAAGAAATCTGGAAGACATCAACCATTTTAATTCTTCAGATGGGCTTATGCAGTGTAAACATGCAAATCAACCATCCAAAGAACTGAATAATTTCTTAGAAAGTTTCTCTAAGATTTGTTTTTTGTTTCCTGTTGGTTTGTTTTCTTGATTATTTTAGTTTCACTTAGCCAGTTTACTGAGAGAAAAACCTGAATGGCAAATAAAACAACTTTCCCAACCCACTGTTCTTCTTTTCAAGACTCTGTTCTGCAGGAAATCCATATAATTACTGAACTGTTCTCTTTTCCTATTCCTCCATTCCTCTTTTCATTGGTTTTGCCCAATTTCTTTACTCCAACAAAGACTTTGTCTCCACATGTACAAATGCACCTCTTTTTCTCCATTATTCCATTTCTCAGAACATTCCTCTACAACCAAAATCTGCATCTCTGTGCTAGCTACTCCCATTCCTTCTTTATTCAATTGCTCTATTATTCACGAAGCTACCCAATCAATCTTTTCTTTCCCTACAATCTTGCTTTATTTAAACAATATTTGACAGATGCATGTAGTGTTCATACCAACATTGTACATGTACATACATACATATACATGCATATACTTTATTTATGCTCAAAATACACATTGTAGCTGTAGAGCTAATATCTTCAAGAAACTAAGCTAAAATAAAACATGCTATATTACAATTCCAATATTATTTATAAACTATATATTCTATGTATATTCTGCCTTTTTTGTTTCGTTTGTTCATAAATTTAGAAATTTTTTCATCAGCCATCATCCCTTCAACAATTCCCTTCATATTAACATTTCAAAACTTACTTCTCTACATTGCGACAATCTCTTGAAAACTCATCAGCAACCATGCTTTTAGCATCTTTCCCTGGAAAAATGAATATTAGTACCAATAGATGGGAAAATATCATTATTGTAGATTAGAGGCAACATTTATCATAAAAACTTATGGTTTCAATAGCCTAACTCCTTACAATACAACAAATATGCAAGTATGAAAGACATGAAACTATTTAAACTAAATTATGCAGAGTCCAGCTCAGAATGTGCAGCATGTTACAAATAAAGTTCAGCACAGAGCATCCTGTATTTTAATTATGGTATATAATAATAATTGAAATAAATAAATAGACTTTAATGGCTATCACAAAGCATATTTAAAAAAAGAAATAGAATCTCTGCTTATCAAATTGATGCAATTCACAATAATCTCTGAGATTCTCTGGAGTGTTTCATTTCCCACTTACCAAGTTGCTTTTTAGATTTTGCTTCTGCAGCACTGACTGTGGTCATGGGCTTTGGAGGTAAAGGTGGTATCTGATGAAAGAAAATTATCTCAATTAACCCTTTAACTCCCAAGATGTGATTGTTAATTCTCCCCTGTAGCTGCTACACACTCCCCTGTAAATTATTTATGAGAACTTGCTGCTGGATCAAGATAGCAGCTTCTACCTGATAAGTTTGTATATTCTCATTACCTGTTTACTGAATAATGTATGGATATTGTAGGGAGAAGTTTTATTTTAATCACTTCTGGGAGTTAAAGGGTTAAGATATTGTCTTCTCGAGCCCACTTTCATGGCTGTACTTTAGAGCAAAATCAAAAATATAGAGAAATAGTTGAAAAAGCAAATAAAATTAAAAAATGACAAATTTAACCCTTTAACTCCCAAGAATGACCAAGACAGAAATTCATCTCACGATATTTACACAACATCAACCAGATAAGAGATGAGAAAAAAAGAAAAATATCAATTTGGGGATAATTGGTTGATCCAATACTAAATTCTCTGAAATTACATTATAAGAATTGTATGGTTGACAGTAAAGAGAATTACAGATTTGATCAGGGAGTTAAAGGTTAACAGACTTACAACAACTCCATCCACATTATTGTGAGCTATTAAACAGTGAGAGAGCCACTCTAGGTCTTCATACTGACGAAGAACTACAACTCCTTTCTCTTCTTCACTGTCATCAACCTGTTGAAGCAAATAGCACAGATACATAGAACTGCTTCAAGTGATTCTCTTTACACCCTATAATCAATAGCTACATTCTCCATACTTTTTTCCTAATGTTTCTTATGGTAATGTTAAGGAGAATTTGTTTCTTATCAAGAGCTTTCTCAGTTAGCCATCATTTCCTATTTACCCATGCCCTTATGCTTGTCTCAATAATAACACCATTAGGACAAATTAGGTGCTGGACAATCTTGTAATGGATAGAAGAGTTTTAAAAACCCTTTGCTATTTGCTTCAGTTCCCCTAAGATCTGGAAAATTGTAAAATATTATTGTTCTCACTCAATCCTAATTATATTCCCTGTAATAATGCATCAAGAAAAATTTTGTACCTCAATGTTAAGAAAAAATTGTCTGATTTTTTTCTTTAGAAAAACTCTTGTATTCAAACTCTCTGCCATTGCCGGATAATTTAGCAATAGAACTGCAAATTGAAGAGCTACAGGGTAAAGGTATTTAAAAAACATCTTAAAAATTGCAGGTTGTGACTTGCAATACCATCAGGATTTGAAGATGCAGACAGCATACCACCATCATGAATTAAGAAGAGAACAAAACCACGCTCTCTTCTTTGCCCCTCGCCTTAATTCTCGGATGGGATCAAAACATATCTTCTCTTTACAATCTTAATGTTTAACTTGGCAAACCGGCAATCTTTGATAACCCAACCCCGGATTGCTTTAAAAAAATCTACACTATTAGCTGGCCTCAAAATAAAGACCTTTAAAAAGACTGACATGACCTCTCTCGAGGATATCACGAGGTTTATTAGCCAGCTGAAAAGTAACAAAAGCAACAAACCGAAACGGTTGGTTTGTAATGGACGATAATGAATATGGATGATCACAGAAATTTCAGTATTACAACAATCTTCTAGCTGCAGCAGAGAAGAGAAAGGTAAATGTCCGGCTGGATTCGTCACTCTCCCAAACTTCATGAAACTTGGATAGGTTATGGCAAAGCGAAATTCTAAAGCTATCTCATTTTTCAGAATCGTCTTGCAAGTCTGCGAACTATTTCAAGGAAATGCGGATGGATTAAGGTCGCAGTACCATTCTCCGAGGATAACAAGGGTAGATTTCAATAAAATCAGAGATAAGCGAAGTGGACTTACAATGTTGGTTTGTATGGTGAATTTTACGATTTCGCCGTCCTTGCTTGCATCAAGAACTTTCACCGGCCAGGACAAACCGTGTTCTCCGACGCCATTCACTTCACTTTCCGCCTGAAAGGAAAGCAAATTAGACACACCTGCAGGAATCTAAAGCAGCTCTACTTTTCTGTTAAACAGCTGTTACCATCTTGAGTCATCAGAACAGCCCACAATCTGCACTCCGGTGGTTTAATCTCTGTTACAAGTCGATGATAAAACCAGCGCTTATGGGCGGTGATAGTTAAGTTACATTACACCACATTAAATCTCTTGCTTCAAACAACCGCGTAACAGCCGTCATTTTAACTGACAGCGCAAACTCGTTCCCAGGGTCTCTCCTAAAAAGCGCGGCAGTTACGCAAAAATGTTCCAGGAATTAGCAAACGGAGGTGGCTCAGAGCCTTTTCCTGCTATTAAGGCGAAAAGCTGTTTGGCCGGTTGTCATAAAGAAAACTGAATCATTGCTAATATCATGGATGCCCAAAATTCCATTCCTAGCGGGTTTTATTATGATTTCTGTTTCCTTTGGTACAAGTTACTCATCATGTCAAGATTTACCTTGGAGGAATTTAATTTAAGGATTTGATTAAGCATCTTATAAAATCTTGTAACATTTAGCCAGAATATCTCGAGTTTCTAACTTGTAATCCTGACTAATCCTCTTTTGTTTTTCTTTTTCCGACCTCGACCATTATTTTTCTAGAGGGGGATGTGAGAAATATTGAAAAAAAACTGTGTGCAGGATCTGAAAAGACGTAATAAATTGTTTGCAAATGTGATAAGGTAAAAAAAAATATTTTTTTGCAGAGAAGTCAGGTAAGTTATTAAAAAACATTATTACCAAACTGAAATAAAAAAATAAAGTAACAAATTCAAGCATTAGTTTAAAAATTATCACAATTTGGTCACTAAAAAGTGGTTACTCTGCCAGCAAGTAACAAATCTGAAAATAGCAGAATATTTCTTGAAAAATGAGAATTTATTGTGGCAGTTAAATCTCAATGTTACTTGTCAACATTTCGTCCTACTACAAAACTTCATGGTTATATCAGGTATTTTTCTCAAAACAAAATAATATTCTTCAATCTTGGCTATATTTATCATTGCTACTTAATACATGTTTCATAGTTCAATAAGGCAATTGTAATATTTAGCACAAATAAAAAGAACACGGGAAAAAATGGAAAAAAAAATTGTTTGCGCAAAGATGATGTTGGAAAAAAATGTTTGCAGAGACGTATATGTTTAAAAAAATGTTTGCAGAAGAAAATGTCTCATACCCCCCTTAAGAAAAATAATGGTCCGTCCCTAATTATTTTGTGATTCCCGACCACACCCTTTCGACACGAACAGCTAAGGTCAGTTAAGGGCCCGTTTGACGTGAGGATAAGCGTGTCAACTAAGGGTTGGCTCATGATTCATCCCCTGAGGGAAATAAGGCGGATTCTGTCGTGTGACAATAAAATTTAAGCGATCACTTCTCTAAGGTTCTGTAGAATTTTAATAATCCCCCTCGTTGGCAGTACCCCTATTTACTTTACGGAACCAAAAGCTACTTTCGTATTTTCGTATGAAGCGGTAACCTACATAATGCCTGATGAGTTTGACTTCAGATCGAGAGCTTCAAGCACGAATCCTTACCAGGAAAAAATTTTTTCGAGACACCGGGTAACTTTACAAGCTGAGTCTTAAGGGGGTGATAGCCTTTCTGGCCAATGAGTTAACCCTTTAACTCCCAAGATCTGATTGTCAATTCTCCCCTCTAGCTACTACACATTTCCTTGTAAATTGATTACGAGAATTAGGTGTCCAATCAAGGTAATAAATTGTACCTGATGAGTTTGAGTATCCTCACGACCTGTTTGCTGGATAATGTTTGGATACCATCATAAGAGGTTACATGGTAATCTCTTCTGGGAGTTAAATGGTTAAATTTTGGCCATTTTACGCTAATCGATTTGAAATAATAACTTTTTACAGTTAACTCTTTTTACGATTAATAGTTAAAAAAAAGTGTTTGTGAATTTTTACGCCTTACAGATAAATTTGTTTGCCTTTTTAAGGCTAACGGTTAGCCTTATTAATACCCCAAGCCTGGTACAATGTTTTGCGATCTAAACCTTGGAAATAGCAGCAAAGATAAATCCAGGATGGGGGAAGGGGTAAGGGGTAAATCCTGTAATACCCTGAACCCTTCGGTGGAATGATTTTTTGTTTTAATCCAAGAGTATACAAATCTTGGTTATACAAATCTTGGTTCAGGTCGAGAGAAAGCGCGTACACAGTGCGATTCCTCCCCACCCCCCCCTTTCTACAATCTTACCAACGCCCCTGAATGGAGCTGGTCTAAACTCCAAAACCAGCCCGCTCTTTATTCATTTCCTAATATCTACACCGTATGAATTTCAAACCATGAACATCACGATCTTCAATGCAAACACGGCAACCAAAGACAGGTTAAATTTTCAGGACAGGTTACTGTCAGAAATTTTCAAGAAAAAGTGGCATTATCGGCAAGAGTACGCAGTAACAGTAAGAGTATGCAGTATTGTCACATGACCCGTGCGGCCCCGTGCGCGGTTTCACTGTGAAACGGGTATTGAAAAAAAATCCATACCAGGTATGGAGGCCGTTGCGACGTTCGCGCGGGTAAGGTCAGAAAAAGGCGTACAGAAGAGAGAGAGAGAAAGAACTGTTTTTATATGATAAAAGATTCAATGACTGAGTAGGCTTGAGTAAGGCTGGGCTAGGCAGGAAAATACTTTGCTTTCGCTCATAACGTGCAGGCTCGTCAAGCTGAAAGTTTTTTCGTCCAGCCCTCACCCTTCCAGTATAAGTAAATAATGTTTCTTGACCCTAAGAATTTTACGCTAGCCACAGAGAATGCGATACGACTGTTATGCCACTTTAAAACCAATCCTAGAATACAAAAAATTTTTCTTCAAACTCTGGGCACTATGAAAGACTAAGAGAAAAGAATCATTTTCTTTTAGAAAGACATATTCCAACCGAGAAAGAAATCCTAGGCAAAAAAAGGAGTTTGACATTTCAGCTTCTATATTAGATTTAAATTAAACTTACACGTTTATCCCGCGGCAATCCACGTGAAAATAAGCAATGTATAAATTTTCCGTTCCCCACCGAAAATAGTCCACTTTACGAAATATTGAATTTGGACCACTAAGTTGTACTGCACATGCGTAAATACTGAAGCGCGGCAGTCGCATGTGAAATTATATATTTTACAAACATGGTCGGATAAGTGATGTTGCTCTCTAAGGTTCTTTTTTTTTTCCTCTTTTTTCAGTAGAAATTACCTAATTGAAAGCTTTCCTAATTTTAAGTCAAGCTAAAATGTAACTCTGGGGAAATTATCATATTTTTTGTGTCAATTTTTTTTCAGCCGCCTGACAAAATTTTTAACAATAAAAAAAAAATGGGTAAATATGCATCTACGACGTTTTCCTCCCTACAAATACCACAAATTAGATTTGTACTTATCCAGACCAATTTTTCGGTATCTTCTGACGGATTCTAAACAGCCGCAATTAAGGAAAGATCGATTAAAATGTTTCACCATTTTATTGAAAGAAACTCGTAACGAAGCAGAAAGTAATTTTAGTTTGACTAAATTATTCATGAGTAAAAATATAGAAAACGCTTCTCCTGTCCGCGAATTAGTAAAAATCGATATGCCGAAATGCCTGGGGACTTAAAAAAAAAATCTAAAAGCTGGACTTTGTCTCCTGCAATTATTTATTTCATTTAGAAATGGGTCTCCAACATTCAGAATTGATCAAGAACTTGAACGAACCATGCAGAATGCGATTTTCTCAAAGAGCAGGTAACTATGCACTCTGAACATATTTTTATATCAAAGAGATACTCTGAGGAAGCTTTTTAAATAAGTTCACAAAAGACCTAACATTTTATTCATTAGTGATTATGCGGAAAAAAATCTTCCCTGAAAAATAACGCGAAAACTATCAAAGAAATGGGAATGCTTTCATCTTTGCATTTTCAACGATGGGGAAGTAAAAACTTGCTAAGTCGGAAACATCAGGTAAATTTGAATCAAAAAAACCTCCTTACAAGTTTCGTATAATCCATATGTTTTTCAATTTAATTTTGGTCGGGTTTCGAAATCAAATTCTGGATAAACCTCATTTCAGCGTGTTTTAAATAATGCGCAATTTAAAACATTTAAGTATTTTTCAGCGAGTTATGTGGAAAACAACTCTTGGGAAAAAAAACTAGAGGAGATCTTTCTTCCTGGAGTTTTCGTTTTCTTCTTCTTCTTCATTTATATATTTCCGGTGAGAAGCCTTAAAATTATCGCTTTTGGACAAACACTTTAAGAAATATAACGCTTTATAAAGTAGTATTACGATAAACGCTGAGTTTTTCATGATGGTTTTTCATTAGAACCGGTCCTAACGCAATTTTCACCAGGACAGGTGGTACACAGATAGGTATATTCTATCGACTACATCCATGTAAAGACACTAGCTGGTTTATCGTCCACCAAATGGTGTTCCATATTGCCTCTCATCCCCTGCTATGTTAACGAACAAGACAAGCTATTCGTATAATTTTTAATAGTATTTCAATGAGATCTATCGGAAAGTAAAAAAAAAACGGCGTTCGGCGCGCTATGGCAAGAATAATCCTACGAAATACACACCACCTATGAAGTGAAATATCGCAAATATGATAACTTGGTAAAAGGCCAGGACTGAGAGGATAAAACCAACTTTTCATGCCGTCTATATCACAAATAGATTTATGTATTATATTCGAAAACGTTCCATTAGAGAATTCGTATTTGACGATCGGTTTAAAGCAATCACTATCTGAAAAGTACTCTTCAGAATACGGCTAAATTGTCTTTTTAGAATTTAGACGAAAAACTCGAAAGTTTAAAAGCAGAATAGTTCTTTTAAGAAATCTTTAAGAGGAGAACTTACTAAAACTATCACAGCTTTGTTTTCTAAAGGAGTTTTTAGTTGCGTAGACAAAAAACAGGAGTTCCTCAAGAGATCACGAAACTTCGCCACAAGAGTGAAGTGTTTCTGGAAGAGTTAAAAGAAACTTCAAAGCCATTCTTTTCACTGGGTGTTAAAGAAAACTGAAAACTGACTCGATCGAACGGGAAATAGAGCATTTATCTTCTACCGCAAAGAGGAGAGAAATGGAAGA